ACAGAAAATGAAAATCGACTTCTGCATTTAAACCATTGCTTCCTGAAAGCTTAGTGAGCGAGGGAATTTTGGTGCTTGCTCAACACACCACAACCACAGCCAGATTCAAGCCTGCCCCTCCGATAACAACCTTAATCTATTTACCACTGGACGTGGGCCGTTTGAAGTCCATCCATCCATCCATCCATTTTCATCTGCCTATCCGTTACCAGGTCGCAGGGGCAGCAGTCGCCACCCAAATCACCTAATCCTTCCTGCAGGTGGTGAGTCCACTGGAAGGTACCAACCGCCCTAACCGGGATTCGAACTTGCCCAGGAGGTGAACCCTGGGGTTCCACACCAACGACAGAGACATTGCCTCTGGGGCAAAGCGCCACCGTTTGAAGTCCAATTCTTATTAAATTACTTGGCCCTAAAATAAGCAACACTTGTTTCAAGGAATGACAAAATAGAAGCATTTTATTTTTTTAAAAAAAAATGCAAAAAAAAAAAAAGAAAAAAATGCCTTCCTTACTTTGATTTTACATCAACTTTCAAAGGCCGGCAGATGATCCTGAAACTCCTGAAAGTCTAACAGTGTGAATTTGGCTGAAGCTAAGCCTGGAGCATGTCCCCCATGTCCCCAGCTACATGTACATGTACAAAACACTACCATTAATCTTTACTCCTTACTCATGGCAAGAAAACCTAATGAGCGTTTTTCCCACAATGTCAAATCTTTCCCTTCAGTGCCATTCATTAGTATATATCTTAGCTCTTTGTGCAAAAAAGAAAATTGGATGTTTAATGCATTCAGTTCAGCGTGCAAATATAATAATCGTTACCACTTATTTTCCTTTGCCAGTTTCAATGGTCTATGATAAATGGCATGGTTTCAAGTTCGTACAATTTATTTCAATTTGACAAAAAAGGCCAGTTTTATGACATTTTATTTCATATTTAAGCAGGGGATCGAGCCAAAAAAGAGAGTATAGCTTGTGTGGAGCGAGCAGTTCATGAGCCGGTGGCCCATCTGGTTTAAGTTACTAAAACCCCCCCTCCTCAATTACACTCAACATGATGTCAATAAAACGTCAGTCTGGAGAAGCTATCACTTAGCTAAATTGGGCTTGTCAAGTATTGTTCTTTTCTCAGCATTCCAGTGGAGAGAATCAGTCTGAAATGATTTGTATTTTGATTAAAGTTACCACAGGTTGCCATTTCTGATTTGGTCTGGGCACAAGGTTTTAAAACCTGGCCAGGTTTTTTTTGTGTATTAGTAGGAAAAAACAGTGAATATTTTCATTATGGAACTGGATTATTTACATCATCAAAGAGAAAACAGGTAGATCAAGGCATTAAGAAATGAACTGCAGTATTGAAGGCTCTATCATTTTGATCAAGTATGAATAGAAAACACAACTAAATACTGAATGCTTGCGAGATCTGAAGGTATTATAACAAAAAAAGGAAATGCTAAAAGCTACAATACATTTTAGAAGCTAACAAGTTAAAGTTAGCCTAAATATTAGCAAATACAGCAAATCCTCAAGTCAGAGTTAGATAAATGTACAATAAGTGTAAATAATTGCATCTGTAGCCAATAAAAAAAAAAAGATAGCTGGTAAACCAGATATGAATTAAACTGAGCCGGTATTGTATCAGAAATACCTCCTGGAGGATGGCAAAATTCAAACTGAGAAACTGGCAAAGGCGTAAGAAAATAAATAGCTAAAATTTTAAGTAAAAAATGTAGCTTACAGTTTTGTCTAGAAGGTTCTAAAGGTATCTAACGTGTCAATCGTCAAAAGTCAACGTGTCCCGTTTGACTGTCCCAATTGGCTAACATTTGACTTTCTTGTCTCTGGTCCTGTATATTCTCAGCTTCTTATCACTGGGCAGTTGATATTTATGTTTTTTCTCTCGTATTGCATGGAGAATTTATGAGGACTTCCCTGGTTTTAATGAAGGGAGTATCCAAGTAAGACGATCTCTTTCTGCACAGCCTGTACGTGCTGATGTTCAGGATTACTATTGTAATTTTAACATCCCTGAATACTTGTGCCATGTTTTCAGAGTCAGTCCAGGACTTGATCCATGGAAAAGGTGACACACTCTCCACTGCTCCCAGGGGTAAAACGGGAGAGTCCACACCTTCAGAGGAACGCAGAGGCCCGTACTGTCCTGAAATCTGACAACAATTACTGCATGAATTTCAGCATATCACAATGCCAAATGCCTTATCTCCGGACCTTCACTCATTTAGGAAAATCTGGAGATCATCAACAGAGAATGTGTTGGTTATTTTGTGTTTTCGTTCAAATTAAGCTCCAACTACATCTGCAGGAGAACTCCGAATTGATGCCTGAAAAAGAGGGTGATGATACAAGTCATGTAAATCACTAAACTCAGAAACCGCTAAGCCTTTATCACATCATCTCAGATTCCAATGTGCCTCATGAACATAAAGATTTAATCAAGTGTTGTGAAAATGCGACAGCCACGGTTTTACAGCAGGGCATTCAGAGGATAAGACGACCTACGAGCTGCCTCTGAACCAGAGCCAGAGCCACTCTTGACGGTTTAAGAAGACTGCTGATTGCTATAATTGCTGTGCAGCAGGAGTCTGTTACAGGCAGGAATAATTAAAAAAAACAAAAACTTTTAATACTTTGTTTCTATAGGAACCCTTGTAACACTGTAAAGATGTGGTCTGGGTTCAGTGACGGACTGCGCTCTCAGCTTTTATGGTACAAGTGTGACTGAAAGCTCTTTGGTTTTAGATTTGATTGTTCTGCGAGTCTCGCAATCGTCTGGAAAATACTTTATGAGCAACAGATACAGCGGTGGGCAAAATCATGGAAACCTTACAAGAAAAAGAAAACGACCTCTTCACGGGTGAAACACGTGCGTCATACGCAGTTGCTGATTAGATGGAGTACATAAAAAAATACACGATGGAAGTCGGACGTGCTGCAATATTTCACGTGATCGGTTTCAGCTTGTAGTTTTAAAGATTTTTTTTATAGCCGACAGATGCTGCAGTATGGTAAACAAATATTGGTGACCTTTTTTTCTACAGACGGTCAACTGGTTTAAAACTCCACAGGAATTAAACTTTAGTTTGAAATCAGATTAAAAGTGATTTGAAACGGTGGGGAAATGCTCACCCCTCCTCTGTTGTGAATGTAACAGTAGAGACCAAATCAGTCAGTGCAGTTTATGACATTATACTGGCGCCAAATCTGTCACATCCAACGTACGTAGATGCAGACTTGTCCAAGTTCCCCGTGTGTCACCAAGGTGAGCTCATGGGAAGTCCCTGATTCTCCGCTGTCAGACGGACAGAGAAGCACATTCTCTCCAGCTCTGTCCACTTTCAAGCTCTCTTCTTTTTAGAGGCTTCTAATCCTGGCAGGTCTCTGGTCTGACGTCACAGGGCCTTCCCTGCTCCCTGATGACGGCCGATGTGCTGTATGCACACTCTGGTTTCCTGCGCTGCTCGTAAACACCCATCCCTGCCCTGGCCCTGATGTGTGACCATCTGATGTAGACGAATAGAGCAGCAGAGCAGCCGAGAGGGTTAAACTCTGGGGGGAGAAGGCGCGGAGTGAATGTGTGGGCCGGAGTGAGTATAAGGCACCCAACTATTTTCTCTCCTTTGCTTCCCCTCCTGTGAGTCCAATATTTGGCTGCCTGGATTGCACCATGTGACCAGGAAGTGTGGCTCCCATCCATTTCCCCTCCTGACAGAAAGGAAATATTGTAAGAGAGGGGCCGGCGCTGGGCTCTGTTACGTCGCTGGTTAAAAATAACTGGCATATTTAAGGCTGCCGAGGAATCCCAGGGCAGGCAGAGGCTGGACAGCCTGCCGCCCGGCAGGAGCTCCCTCCTTTCCTTCTCTGTGTCTATTCTGCTGACTTCTCTTTCTTTTTACTTCCACTCATGAACCTTTCACTCTTCACTCAGCCACTGCAGCACGACCGCGACCACCACCCTGTCTACAGATAACACTTCTACACCCGTGGAAAATCACCAACAGAAATAACCAGTTGGTAAAACCTCAGTATTTGCTGGTACAGCTCTGTGTCCATTAACAAGCCGTCACACAGCTCTGCTCGCCAACATCATGGCCGCAGCGAAAACAAATATCTAATCATTTTGTAATAGAATTGACCACAAGCAATGTATTAATTCCAGTTACCAGCCATGGCATATTTGTTCTGCGTCACATGCTCTGTGTTGTTGGCTGCATTATGACTTTCAAGGGTAGAAGATGTATTTTAAACAAAGCGTTTGCTGTCTTTTGGTCGGATTGAGAGAACAGGGAAAAAGAGGGAAAGACTAAAATGACTGAATAACTGAAGAAAAAAAACCCCACAATTCATATAAAAAACAGTTGAACTGGTTCCACATTCACTCATTTTTCCATCCTGTTTTTCTTACTTTTTTATCTTCAATTAACCAGGTTTCTGTTGTTGTATTTTTGCCGTCCCTGTCATACTCTTCCTTCTTCGTCTTTCTTTCTTGGGTCAAACTCGTTCTTCACTCAATGCATCACATTTCTATTCATTCAAACATCTACTCCCCTTGTAATCCTCATCAGGGTTGTTGGCGACCGTAGGGTTATTTCTACCTGGTGATGGTGAAATAATCCTTTAGTGTTTTATGACATCACTCTTGATCCTCGATTCTATTCCTTACTGTATGAAAGATGTTCTGGTTTTGAATCCTTTTGTTCCTTTCGTTTCCACTTTGTTGTGGACCTTAATCCTTTGTAATTCTTTTCTTCGCCCCTAGTAGCCAGTAAGTTCATTATTATGATTCTCTGACCAGAGTCAGTTGATCCATGGGCATAGGAACCAGATCATCTTTGTCTCACAATATTCCAGTTCTGGTTCATACATACTATGGACTCACCAACTCTGGTCAGTGAGGAACTACAGATTCAACAGCCGAGAAAGGAATGCCCCCCTCTGGTGGATTTGGCTGAATATGAGGTCATCTATCTTCCCCTGCAGGGTCTTCTAGCCACTGGTACCACAGAGCAGCCAAAGGAACCCAGCAGAGGTCCTTCAGATGTAGCGTCAGAGTGCTCACAGTCGAGTGAGGCCTTGTGTCGGTCATTTAAGTCCTTGTTGCCTCCTCATGTCATCTGGGCCCTTGGCACTACTCAAGTTGCCCTAATAGAGAATAAGATCCAGCAAATTGAGTTTGCAGAAGCAGCTAAACAACTGGAGGAGGAAGCTTTAATCGACGCAGAGGAGGTGTGGACCGCTAAGGAGTGCGCAGAGATTCAGGCTGCGCAAGAAAGACTCCAGAGGAGGCGACAGGAAGTCCTTGATTCCAAAGCAGCTCTGCTGCGACGGGTGACCAGACAGCGCAGACTCCGCAAAGCCACCAGTGAAGCCTGTGTAGCTCAATTAGTTGCTTCAATGATAGAAGAAAGAGCGACGATGCAGCCTTTGGATAAAGGCTCCATCTCCTTCAACCAAAGATCCTCGCAGCTTCACACTGATCTTCAGAGCTCTCCCGCTGCAATCCAGGAAAAAGCTGTGGTTGCGGTGGATACGGTCGATGCAGAGCTGCCTGCACCTGCATCTCCACACACTTCCATCCTCACCCCAGCAGATGGTGTATCAGATATCGCCACAGAAGCCGCAAGTACTGATAAGCCAGCAAATCATTATGACCCGTGGACTGTGCTATGCAAGTGGAGCATGCAGAAAGTTGGAGTAGAAATGACCTCCTCTCGTCACGTGAGCCATCTGAAAAACTAAACGCTGGTGATGGTTGTGCCTCTGTAAAGAGTGTTGTTACTGAAATAAAATGTTTATTAAAAAAATAAATGTCAGACGTGAGGATGACTGCAGTTTTTTTCATAGTAGATAATATTAAAAATAATATTTAATAAAATAACATTCTAAATAATAATATTTGCTACTATTCATTATCTACCACTATATGGTCATTGTCTCTGCTTCAGCTTCTTGACCCACCTGTTCCCATTAGGTTTGGGAGTCAGGCAGTAGGTGGAGCTCTTTCCTACATTTTGGCCAAACATTGGAAATACCTGATCAAATGAATTAACGTTAGCTAGGTACAGTATATCTGCTGAAATCGCATGAATTCAAAAATCCTCTTTCCCCCCCGAAATGTTCAAATTAACATTTACCTTTTTACCACCTTGACATTCCTGTTCTTCAATTTCATACTTAACAGTTGTCTTTAATTAGTTTAATCTGTTAGTGTTGACTGAGTAGTTTAGCGCCAAACATTAGCATGCAATAGTAGCAGGAGACATGTTGTACTCGGTTACGTGTACTACACTAGTGAAGTTGTCCATTTAGATTTAAAACTGTAAACTAATAACACAGCTCTTTACTTCTTTACATTAGAACTGTATTAGAGTTAATGTGAGCAGAAGGGAACTGAAGTGCAGCAGAATAAAAAAAAGCTTGAGTCAGCTTTCAAGAATTAAAGAAGGAATGAAAGCTATTTTTTAATTAGTGAGCAGCATCTGGAACAGAGTACTGAAAACCTCAGTATCTGCACTTATGATTAGCTGGTACTCATATTCACTTGGAGTCTTTCCAGCAGGCAGAACTTGACTGAGACTCACCGGTCGGGAAGTGGTGTCACTCATGCACACCAACGTTGAAAAAAACCAATAGTGTGCAGCTCAGTTCCTTTATAGTTCACACTTTATTTACACAATATCAGTGTTCACAGCTGCATGGCTCCATTAAAGACTGTTTGTTCTTGGTTTGACTGTAAGCATAACCTTTCTTTTCACTTTCTCAGCGTTGCTGCGGTTGCATCAAAGATGTGTGAATGTAGGATCGATCGAAACTCCCGGCAAAGCCAAGAACGGTGGCTGTGAGTTCCTTTTAGAGAGTAGCTGTTTCAAAGAAGCCCTGACGGATGTTTGATCTACGGCATGACAGGAAGAAACTTCATCAGGAAACATTTTGACAGGAAAATTGTTCCTCACCAAAGTGTCAGGTGAGCCAGCACTGTTGATACAACAACATCAGCTCACAGTTATGCTGCCAGTGCCTTTAATGCAACATGTTCCACCAGTGACACCGCTGTGGCACTTACTGAAGACACAGCTAATGGGCCTCAACTGCTACATTTGCTAACCTTTACATATTTGCCTATCCCTTTGGCTCACCTTTATCTACTTCAGTTAGTTGCCATAGTTTTGGCTACCGTTTAGGGGAAAATTCCAACTATTGCTCAACAAAAAAATGTCATTTAACAGTAGGTATTTGTAGGCTTTCTTTGTTAAACATTTTGAAGGTGTGTTTACATTTCTTTAGCTGATATGCAGCTATTTTTATTATGACTTTTTATTGGCTTACTTCAAGCTTTTTTGCTACTGTTTTGTAGCTATATTGCAGTGATTTTAAAATAACAATTAGCTCTTAACTTTAATGCTTTTGAAGTGAATCAAGTTTAAGTATTTGTACTTTAAATTTCATGATATTTCGTGGGTAATATTTATTCACAAACCCATCCCAGGCTAATCTGACATTACTAATGGGGAGATCATGTTAGAAAGTAATACATATACTGTATAACCCGCAGTGTAATTGTATGACTATTAATTAAAATCTCCACTATTGTTAAAGAGAGGCGTTAGCATACTTTAGCATCAGTGAATCTAAACAAATAGAATCTACCTCTTTAACGCTAATGTCATTTTTGGAACGGTTCTACAGATTCACTGTAAACAAACAAAAAAAAACTGAAATGTAATCAGTTTCAGCTTCAGTAATCAGTACTAATCAAAACACAGCATTTGAAAGTAAACACAGTGGATTCTGCATGAACAGATTCCATACATACGCTTTGGTGTGAGTAACTAAATCAGCACAACATCATTGTGTCAGGAGAAGCTCACACACAGTGGTGTCGTCTTCTTCCTCCTTTATCTCTTCACTCCTCGCTCTGTCGTTACGGCGACGCAAAGCACCTCACCTGTCAAAGTTCAACCTTTGTTTTCGGGGGATCATTTTCAGAAGCATTGTCTCCAGCCATAAAGATTATGGTTATAATGACACAGCTGCCATTGTGCAAAAGGAAACAGGTCTTCACCCTGGAACAAGAGACACAGTGCAAACACGATGGGTTTTCCTTCATCAGCCTTCACTTTGCCAGGGCAAAACTGAGTCGACGGGCCTTCACAAGTCAGTGTTTGGACTCAAGTTAGTGTCCTACGGTAAATACACTCACCAATAAATTGTGGTTTCCCTAACAGGATATGATTTCAATTGACAGAGCTCTCATGGCATTGTTGCGTAGATTCTTCCCACCAGTTAATGTTTGCCCAGCCAAGACAACACGACTTGATTCAGGTTCAACCCCGGATTGAAGGCACCAGCGTACAGCATCCGTGCATGTGTCTCGTTGGAGCGACGGCTTGTTTGTTGACTTACCTAACGGACAAGATCCTGATGCAGCAGGATCAGCAGCGAGCGCTTTGTTTGCTCTCGCACTGAAGTCTTGAGTTTATGTGTCTAATTATGTAGGATAGAGAGGTTTGTGTTAGCTCGCTGACTCTGAGCAAACACTGACTGAACCCAAGTCAAACTCAACACCGCACAAAGCTGTGGAATCCTGTGATCCCATCCATCCATTCCCATACAGAGGGACTGGACCGTACACTGGCTTTAATCAAATGACAGGAAACGTACGTGTCTGTTTTATTACAGACAATGCAATAAAATGCATTTGTCTGGTAAGTCTAGTGTATACATATATTTGTAAGTTGCTATTTTATTAACATAGTTAAATTCACAGTGTGAAAAGACAAGTCTATCAGCTGTATATTAATATTATTCCTCCCTTGTTTACAGCTAAGTTTTACGACGAAAGTCAATATATATATGTATATATTGTGTTTATATATACAGTACGTATATAATTATAATTAAGTTTCTATATTTCCACAGCTTATTTAAGCTTTCCCTGAGATTTTTTTTTTTTTTTTTTGCTCTCCAAATCCTAACCAGTATTATGTATTTACGTCACATGGACTTTCGGAATTGTGATAAGAACGATTGAATATATAAAACCTAAATGACACACAGGGGAAACTACTCACTGTCTTTTACAGAAACTTTAAGAGCAGCTGATTTATTTATAAGATGTTGATCCTGGTCGAGATATTGCCACAGACAATGTTGATGTTTTTCCTCTTCCTTCGTCGTCTTCTTTGCGTTTTTAAGAAATTGGTAAGATTCGAGTTGCCCAAAGTAGTAAACATTCTCACCAAATGTTTGCACAAAGAGCAGGGGAACATTGAAAAAAAGAGAAAATAGCTGCAGAGGGCACGGCTACTGCTGATAAACAAACACTACAGTATTCTTCCGGTGCCTGGTAGCTAAGTAGATGGCTTTGGCAAACTCTTTCTTTTAAAACGTGTATTCTTTTTTGTTTATATTTTCCCAATTGCATGTAATGACTTTCAAATTTTCCATGCAGGTGTAACATTTGCCTGCAGCAATGATCGAATAAAAGTCAGCGCCGTGTTCCCACGTCACTCACTCTCTTTTCTCGTTCACCTACATTCACAGCAGCAGTCAGCAGAGGTGCCGTTGCTATGAATACAAACAAACCTCTCTCTCTCTCTCTCTCTCTCTCTTTCTCTCTCTCTCCCTGAGTCTCTTTCGCTGTGTAAAACCACGTGATGTTTTCTCTGTTGGTTGCTAGGCGACGTGGGCGTGTCCAGTGTTTTAAGGATTCCTCCTCTGACGCGCCTCTTTCACTTCAGGCTGCCGGTCAGTGCGTGAGCAGCACAGGGACAGGGATTCCCCCGAAGCCGCTCCAGACGACGCTTCTCTCTGCCCTCTGTCAGAGTAGGAGGAAAACTGATAACTTTGAATTTAACTTTAAGAAAAAAAAAACGTATATAGCTTTAAATTAAAATTAAAAGAAAGTCAGTGTTGGCTGTCTGGAGCACAACACCATGTCCTGGAGCCTGCTGTAACCACAGACCGGCCGATTCCAAAGTCACTCCCGGGAATAACAAAAGTTTTCAACAGACGAAGAAGAAGACGGAGAAGATCCTCTGAGCGGACCCCACAGATGAGGTGTGGACGTGCAGAACCTTCTCTCTGATGAACATCTCCTCCACGCATGGACTACCCCAGGCTGCTGCAGCTGCTCCAGGATCTTCTCCCCAGCAGGATTTACCAGCTCGTCGTTTTCTCTCCGACTCCAGGAAGCCTCTCAATGACGTGGAGATGGCTTTAGGTGGAACACTGCTGCCATCCATCTCCACCTTTGCCAGCGGACCCACTCTGAAGAGCAAAGCCTTAGGAAGTGCCAACCCAGTGAGTATCACGAGACTGGAGGCTGGTGTCCACCTGTGCTCCTGTTACGTAGACTGTTGGTTCTCAAGTGGGGGTGCGTGTACCCTTGGAGGTACATGAAGGCACTCTAGTTGTACATGCATAAAAAAACCCTTTATATATAAGTAGCATTTATTCAATAATAGTTTAAAATAATCATTTATTATTTATTTCAATAATTGTATAGAAGAAATAGTTCACAAACTGACTGTTTTCTTATAGTGCTAAGATTAAAAATCTGGATTTTTTTTAAAAGAATAAAGCCACTGTGTTACATGTTATCATTTAGAAAAATATTTTGCATTCTTTCAAGCAAAACTAAAAGTGAGTCATTTAATGCATTTTATCTTATTTTTATTTTATTTTCAAAAATGTTTTGTGCTGGTCACTGCTTGAACGATGAAATATTTTTTGATGGCTACATCGTTTAAAAAAGGTTGTTTATAAAAGGTTTATAAAGGTTGCCCATGACTGATATAGACAAACACATGTTCTCCTCAGTACTGTTGCATTCATGTCTTTCATGTATACCGTCTAACTACGGTCGTAGTACTACAGCAATAACACGCTATTAACAAACCTCCTTAACCCCCAAAAAACAAAATACAGACTGTTTTAGAACTGCTGGGAAACACACACACACACACACACACAGACACACAGACAAAAACATAACTCTGCTCATAAATTCTTTTCAGGATTATTTAATGGTTGATGTAGTTCAACCTCAACCATTAGTTGACACGTTAATGAGAAATAAACTACCAAAACAGACACAACTGTGTTTTACTGTGTTTAGAGCTGACTTTTTATCTCTGCCTCTAAAACTATAAACTGAATTTCTTTGGTTTTCGGTGGAAAACCAAACCATTTGACAGTTTTAGAAACAGAGACAAAAAAAAAATCACATTTTCCACCATTTTTGTTTTTTATGAAGCAAATAAAAAACAATCAGACACTTACGAATCAATCCAGTGTGAAAACAATGTCAACGTTCAGTTCCAACCCTAACCATACAGAGCAGTTTAGGTTGAACCATAGGTTAATTACAATTAACGCGTACATTTAACTTGAGTGGAACTTTTGGTTTGGTTCATATCATGAACAATGACACATTTGTTGGACTATAGGTTCTAAAGATATCAGCAACAGTGCCAGTGAATAGGTTAGAAAAACAGGGATACACACAAGCAAGTGTGTGTTTGACACCACGGGGCGTGCACTGTTTACTTCTGGCTGTTGCTCAAGTGCTACTTTAACCAGTTATTGTCATCTAGATGAGGGCCGACTTTATTTGTTTTATTTTTATTTTAAGATAATTACTTTTTCTAGAAGATGATGGAAAAGGTCAGGTAATGAGCTGCGAAACATCAAAATCTTTAAAGGTCCTGTTTTTGTCCACAGCCTGAAAGTTTATGGTTCAGGAGCCATAAATGTGTAGAAACATTAGAGAAGCTGAATTCAGAGAACACAAATGAATGAATTACAAAACAATGTAGCGGCCATAAAATATAATCGTTCTATTGAAGAACTTGATTTGTCATTTCTGATCTGAGTTTGAGAAGCTGAAATCTGTTTGAATTCATCAGACACTCACACGAATACTGAGTAACTAATGAGAAATGACTATTTGTTTGGTCAAATGATCAAATCATTTTTAAACTAAATGATCTATCAGTTATCTTTTTCATTATTTCGTGTCAAACATTTTTGTTATATATTATATATATATATATATATATACACGTATAGTCCTTGATGGAGTCAAGTTGAATTTGTTGATAAAAGTTGATTTGTGTGTATTTAACACACCTAAAATAAGGTCTGGGGTCCAACTACGGTCAGAGCAAAGGCAAAATTTGGCCCTAATGTCTATTGATATTGTGTTGAGGAAATTATATTCTATAATTTAATATTTATAAAAATTCACATTTAGTTAATAATTAGAGACCACAAAAAGACACATGGAAGAATGAATACTGTATTCAACCCTGTGATGGACCGTCAGACTGTCCAGTGTGTAGCCCGTCCTCCCCCGTTAGCTCCCCCAGTGACTATAAAAAGTATTAAGTAGTAAAATGAAAACTAGGCTGTGTTCTTTTTTTTTTTTTTAAATGTATATCTCTTGAAATATATATTTATTTTTGTCATGCAATACGTGAGTCAGTTCCACCATGTGCTGTGTTGCTTTCACTTTCTCTGGTCTCACCCTGAGTCAGAGTGAGCTGACACAGACTCGGCTCCATGTTTCTCCCTCATCCCTACTGATTCTCACCAGTGTTGATTGTTTTTTTTTGGTGTGTAGACCAGACTCTGACTGTGTAAAACTATGTTGACTACAGTCAGTGACAGATCTGAAGGTGTTTTTTTTTTGTTGATGTGTTAAAGGTGGACAGAATGGTTTGACACAAGACTTTATTAGAAACAACACCAACAAATTCAAGTTTATTCAGACGCTGAAGGCTGTCGACCCTCACTGCTCTGTTATTTATTGTTTTCAACAAAGGGTCCGTAATCTCTATGTGGTCAGTGTAGGTACTGCAGATGGGTTGATAGTTTTTCTCTATTTTGCACGAGAAAAAAAATAAAAACATAGATACATGTGACATATATAAATAACAACGTGTTTACATGACACTCAACACAGTTTAATATACAATGAATTTCCAAAGCGACCTCTTGAGGGATTAATTAAGTTCTATCCTTCTTTCTAACACTATTTTATATCCTGTACTGCACATACAGTAGTGGAGGGTCACTGCTCCATCCGTATGGAGGATTGATTATAGAAATGTTAGGTGTTCAAACCACAGGTGGGCGCCGTGGGACTAGACATCAACCTGAGAAGTTTCATTATCTTCATGAAAGCAAAAATAACAACTCAAAGTTCGTCCTCTCTGTTGTGGTACATTTGGTAAACGTAGAACATGCATGTCTAGAACTGCAGTCGTTTTTATAATGTAACGTGAGTGTACTCAGTAACAACTGGAAACCAAAGCCTTCAATAATCTTCTTCTATTGTTTTCGAGAACCTGACTGGTTTGTATTCTCCGTAGTGTTCCACGTCAAGGACACCTCTGAATAATCGCTCTGCATTATTGACCCAGATTCTTCCACCTCTTTAAGGCATTAACCTTCACTTGTACCTCTGAATCTAACAGGGGCTGCTTTCAATACAAACTTGTCATAAATCCATCACAGTCTGTTATAAGGGAACGTTGAATCGTGTCAGTGATTTTTTTTTTTTTACTTAGAGATTTACAGCTACACTTTCAATAATACCTCTCTCTCTCTTTTCTCTGACAGAGATGGAAGGAGGAGTTGGCCCTTCTTAGGAGACCCAGTGTGCCAACAGGAAGCAATTGCCACGACCCAGACCATCCCACTGCCACCAGCACCACCAGCCCCAGCATGTCCAAGAAAGACACAGAGCCAGATCTGGACTTAGATTACGACTTCATTCTGTCCAATTCACTCCTCCAGCAACAGCAGCAACAACAGCAGCAGCAGCAGCAGCAGCAGCAACAGGAGGTGATGACAGGAGCCGCACTAGTGGAGGGGGAGGCTGCGAGAGGAAAGGGGAGGGGGACAGGGGGGGGGGGGGGGATAGAAATGTTAGGTGTTCAAACCACAGGTGGGCGCCGTGGGACTAGACATCAACCTGAGAAGTTTCATTATCTTCATGAAAGCAAAAATAACAACTCAAAGTTCGTCCTCTCTGTTGTGGTACATTTGGTAAACGTAGAACATGCATGTCTAGAACTGCAGTCGTTTTTATAATGTAACGTGAGTGTACTCAGTAACAACTGGAAACCAAAGCCTTCAATAATCTTCTTCTATTGTTTTCGAGAACCTGACTGGTTTGTATTCTCCGTAGTGTTCCACGTCAAGGACACCTCTGAATAATCGCTCTGCATTATTGACCCAGATTCTTCCACCTCTTTAAGGCATTAACCTTCACTTGTACCTCTGAATCTAACAGGGGCTGCTTTCAATACAAACTTGTCATAAATCCATCACAGTCTGTTATAAGGGAACGTTGAATCGTGTCAGTGATTTTTTTTTTTTTACTTAGAGATTTACAGCTACACTTTCAATAATACCTCTCTCTCTCTTTTCTCTGACAGAGATGGAAGGAGGAGTTGGCCCTTCTTAGGAGACCCAGTGTGCCAACAGGAAGCAATTGCCACGACCCAGACCATCCCACTGCCACCAGCACCACCAGCCCCAGCATGTCCAAGAAAGACACAGAGCCAGATCTGGACTTAGATTACGACTTCATTCTGTCCAATTCACTCCTCCAGCAACAGCAGCAACAACAGCAGCAGCAGCAGCAGCAACAGGAGGAGGCCATGGCGTGCACGTCTGGTCAGACCTTATCTCCTTCTCCAGGCTCTTTCTCCTCTTCCTACCCCCTCCCTTCCCCTCAGGGCACAGCCAGCGAGCTTCTGTACACCATACCAGACATCAGTGACGTTTCCCCGTCTGGAGGCTTTGTGGCAGAGCTCATGAGGCCGGAGCTGGACACAGCCTACCTCCATCCCACCTCTCTCCACGGCAAGTTTGTGGTCAAGACATCGATAGACATGGGAGAGTACAGCCAAGGCGTGAACGTGAGCAAGGCCTGCGTTAACCCCGTGTCCGAGTCGACTCCTTCACGTGCCTCACCTCCCTTCACCTGCCACAGAATAAAGCAGGAGAATCCCAGTAACTGCACCATCTCGCAGCCCATGGACCTCCACCTGGCTGCTGTCAACTCCCACAGCAGGGGGAGCCAGCCTCAGCCTCAGCCTCAGCCTCAGCAGCAGCAGCAGCAGCAGCAGCAGCGTCCGGCTCATCTAGATCTACACGGATTCCCCGGCGGAGGGAGATCCATGACAGGCGGCAGGTTGTCCTCGTCCTCTTCCCTTTCTCCAGATCATCCATTGACCCGGGAGCACCAGGTGTTGGGACACCCTCACCCTCAGATCCCTCTGACTCCACAAGGATACCACCACGGCTCACCACAGGGCTACAGCCCCTACCCACAGCCGTCCTCCATGCAGTACCAAGGTCAGAGCAACTTCCTGTTTTCATTACTCACTGTCCTGTATTCATTTTCTTTAATATTGTAATTGAAATCTGTGAGACAAACTACAATGGCAGTAGTAGGATTGCGGCTTCTCGTGCAAAGGATTCTGGGTTGGATTCCAGCTGTCCTCAATCCCAGTTTGGGCAGTAGTAGGATTGCAGCTTCTCGTGCAGGATTCTGGGTTTGATTCCAGCTGTCCTCAATCCCAGTTTGAGCTGCAACACGAAAGGCTTTTTTTTTTTATTTAAAAAAATGAATTAAAATGTAGACCCTTGCTGTAATGACTCCACTCCAAAAATATAGATTAAAAGCAGACACGTAGGAGTTGTAGTTGGAGTTCTTGGTTAAGGTATTTGAAAAAGGGAGAGGACACTGGACCAACCCTGAAGGAAACACACCAAACACAGCACATATCAACTTCCTCACAGATAAAACCTGTGATCTTCTAGCTGTAAGGTGACTGCACCAGACACTAGGTCACCGCGTGGCCAAGGAGCTAAGACAACAGTCAGTTTATTCAAGTCTTCTTTAACCTTTAACTACAGTCAAAGTCACAGTGTCTTCACTGACAGTATGAAACCATGAAGTCTTTCATGGCCTATAAGGTGTTTGCATGTTTAAGGTGTGAAGCCGATGTTTACTCAGCTTCAAGCCTTTCCAGTTCAGGGCTCTTCTCTTCTGCCGACTTTTAAACAAACTTTGTCTTGTCCTCCAATCCAAGCTTTAACCCAAATCATATTTGAGTATATTTCTCACTACATTCTTGTTGTACAATTAGAAACAAAAAACTCTAAATCCGGGTTTTTTTTTGTAAACCTGCAGAGACGCTGATGATCTCCAGTGGCGAGTGTTTGCCAGAGGAACCCAAGCCCAAACGTGGACGTCGCTCATGGCCGAGGAAGAGAGTGGCCACGCACACCTGTGACTACGTTGGCTGTGGGAAAACGTACACGAAGAGCTCCCACCTCAAGGCACATCACCGCACACACACAGGTGAGTGTCTGCCAACGAATAATTCTCTTTCAAATACAAATATAAAGTGACCTGCTGTTCAGGCTGACGGCTGTGACTGCACAGGGTGAGAAATGTAGCATAGGCCAGGGCATAAGTACGACTTCTGATGATCTCCAGCGGCGAGTGTTTGCCAGAGGAACCCAAGCCCAAACGTGGACGTCGCTCATGGCCGAGGAAGAGAGTGGCCACGCACACCTGTGACTACGTTGGCTGTGGGAAAACGTACACGAAGAGCTCCCACCTCAAGGCACATCACCGCACACACACAGGTGAGTGTCTGCCAACGAATAATTCTCTTTCAAATACAAATATAAAGTGACCTGCTGTTCAGGCTGACGGCTGTGACTGCACAGGGTGAGAAATGTAGCATAGGCCAGGGCATAAGTACGACTTCAAGTGCAATAAAAAAATAGTTAAAAGAAGATTAGCCTTTTAAGTTAAGCTTAGCCATTAATATACATAGACACATAGGTAAAAGGGAAGAAAAACGTTAAGAACAAAATGGTACATTTAGTCAAAAAAAAAAAAAATCAACAGAAAAATATCTAACTTTTTGGCCTAAAATAATGATATCATCATCCAAAGAAAATAAGTAAAATGTCTTAAAAATAACAAAGGAGACTAAAGCCAAAATATAGATAAAAACTAGGGCAATCAATAAGTAACTGAGAACAACAAAAAGGGGAAATAAATAAATAACCAGTTGGGAAAAAGTGAAAGTGATCAATGTAGACAGAACTTTAGCTAAAAAATGTGGGTAATGGAAAAATGTTAAAGGGCAAAAAAAAGAAATTAAGTGTTTTAATAATGACAAAATAAAATAGTATTTATTACAATTTTTTTAACCTAAATGTTGCCTCAGTGAATCAATATGTAAAATGTTATAGCTTATAAGCTATGATAGTAGCACAGATGATCAAGTTAATTAGTCTGAAACAGTTTAAAGCCTATGAGGTATTTGTTGTGTGCAGAACATTTTAAAGTTTTCCAGAGTAGTTAAGAATTTAAAAAACATGATTGGAGCTGTGGGCTGGTTTGGCAGGTGCAGGTGAACAGGTTGAGACTAATCCCTGCTCAAATACAAACTCTGGGATAATTAGTTTGGTCTTTGTCCTTGGGCTGTGGGACAGGACGGACATGTCTCCTGTCGGTGGGGAAGGGTTCTGAACCTGAGTGGCCGACACTAACAACTCTGTGTTTGTTGTGTTTCCATCGAAGGGGAGAAACCGTACCACTGCGACTGGGAGGGCTGTGGCTGGAAGTTCGCACGTTCTGACGAGCTGACTCGCCACTACAGGAAGCACACGGGCCACCGACCGTTTCAGTGTCAAAAATGCGACCGGGCCTTCTCAAGGTCAGACCACCTCGCTTTACACATGAAGAGACACTTATGAGGCTGGCTGTGAGCTCCAGACTCAGACTGAAGGCTCTTCCAGGAGAATATATATATAGTAGCGCAGCCTTGAACGGACGAGTGGCCCACCCTTTTTTATAATCTGACTCAATGAGGGCAGCTGTGGTGTTCACCACAGAGACGCTGCTCTGACCACAGAGACCGATGTTGTGCAGGTGACTGGACGAGACCTTTCACGCGGGGTCGTAAACTTCTATGACAGGGACCAAACTGGAATTAGTCTTATTTAATCGACAAAACTTGGAGGACCAGGTGCCAACAAATTACAACTGGAAATTAGGGATTCATGAAAAGATCCAATCTGATCAACTGTCTGCAGATAATGTAATCCAAATATATCAATTGTCCGGTAAATGCAGCAAGGTTTCCTACACTGAGAGAGCCAAAGCAGAGCCATTAGCCAAAGAGCTAAAAACAGCTAACCGTAGCTAACACAACCATGTCTGGACGTTTTCGCTGTGTTGGACAGTTTACCTGTCCTCAGCTGAAACTTTGAGGGTGTACCAGTTTCTACACAACAAATCTTATAAAGTTTGAAAGCTCACCATCACAAAAGAGCTTTACTAAGTGATTATGAAGTAGCTGTATCTGTTGACGCAGCAGCTAGCACGGAAGCTAAAAGGAGAGATCTAGAAAGGTATTCCCCAGCGAAAGTAAAAATGGCCAAAACACTAAATAATAAAATTATAGACTTAATTGCCTTCTCCTAAATTTCGATAGAAATTTAAAATGTTGATGATGATTTTATTTAATACATTTATTTCAGTGCTGCCAAACTTTAAGATGCATTATTATTTTTATTTTTTTTATTCTGGTCTCACCTACAGCCCTCAGCGTTTTTAATCCTCAGGTCAACATAAGCAAAAGGTCATATGAAGGTCATTGTTTCTCAAAAAAAATGGGTTATTAAATCATCAGTATTGGCCATGAAGATCAGGAAATTATTGGTTATTGATTGAATCGTGCATCCCTACTGGAATTGTATTTTCTTTTTTGTTAGGGAAACCAGGAGCAGAATCTTCCGTGGCCTTCAACCAGCAATACACCATGAACTCTAGGATCAGTCCACAGACACACTGTCCAAAATACTGTATTAACACATATTTATACACACATTTCACCTGCAACACAACCGATTTCAGGTACATTGTTAATTTATAAAGATGGTGCTCCGTGACCCGGAGAAGGTTTTTTTCTTTAGAGAAAAGGTACCAAAGACAAAAGGGAAAGAAACAAACCAGTGAAAACTATGGGGGAGAAACAGTGCCATATTTTTTTGTTTCTGTGTTTCTTGGAAATTTCTTCCACAATCTGACTTCCTGAATCAGGTGAACACTTCACTTTAAAAAATGGTGATGGCAATCTTTAATGCACTGCAACTGCATAGTGCAATAATTTATATGAGACATTCATATTTTTGTATGGAATGAGTAACTCTGAACAAAGATTTTTGTTTTTGTTTATAGCCTAAATATGTAATATAATCCTGGTTTTTGTTTGTACATTTGCACATAAAATGCTTTGTTATTGTCTTTTGTATTTACAGTATATTAAAATAAAATGTACTTGAAATAGTACAGCCACCGTTGTGACCCATTCTGAATTGAAGATTTGAACGATAATAGTTGTTTATATATAAATATACTTTTCCACAACTGTGAGCATAAAACGATAAGCTAACTACAGAAATAACTAAAGGTTAGACAGTGAGCTAAGTTTTTTTGTCCTTTAGCCAAATTCAAGCACTTTCAAGGATTTTAAGTACCAATACTCCTATTTTTTGCCCTATTAATCCACAGCCTGTCAGCGCTGTGTAATAAATATTAGCTCCATAAAACTGATATCCATGTCAAGTGAACTATCATTAGTCATAGTAATTGTATATTTTCCTGTTAGTGAAATGGAGAAGAGCATTCAAATGGCACCAGTAGCTCAGAGTCAGCTCTCACATGCAGTAATATCCCCCTGATAATCAGGAGAGCGCCCGGGGCCCACCAACACAATGTTGTGGTTTAAAAAAAGGCTCAGAAAATACACTGCTACAATGTCCCGTTTCCATGGGTTTGTCTTTCCACCTGTCACCGGGAAGAATGGGAAGGACAACTGAGTTCCTGGCTGACATTCAAGGCCGACACCAGATCTGAGAGCCAGGATGTGCTGCAGCTCAGGTGCACTGTATGAATGGAAGCTGTGAAGATGCTACAGTCAGATAGCCTCAGTATGCTCCTGCTGACAGGTTCAGGTGAAAGAGCATCCATCTTTGCTGTGTTTGCTCTCATTCAATTCAATGTTTGTTTTCCCTCTCAGAAAGAGAAATATATATATATATGTATATACAGTATATATATGCTTCTTCTTTTTCTTTTGGCTTTGTCCCTTTGTTTCAGGGGTTGCCACAGCAGATCACTGATTTCCATCTCTCCCTGTTCTCTGCATCTTCTACTCTGACTCCAACTATCTCCATGTCCTCCCTCACTGCATCCATATATCTCCTCTTTTCTCCAACCTGGTAGCTCCATCTCTAACATTCTTCTACCAATGTATCCACTGTCCCTCCTCTGCACATGTCCAAACCATCTCAATCTGGCTTCTCTAGCTTTTTCTCCAAACCTTCCTGTCTGTGTTGTTCCTCTAATGACCTCATTCCTGATCCTGATAATATATATATGCTTAAACTTAAATATTCATCTTAAAGTTAAAGTCCGCTCTTACAAACACAATAGGTTCCAAGAGGCTGTTCCTTTGTTGAATTTTTTCTAAGTCCTTATATAATAACCATTTGAGGCGAAATACTACTGAGAACCTGATAACATGTACAGTATATCTGTATCTGTACAAACCACTGTAAGAGTTGCTGCCACCTAGGGACTATAATTCAAGCACAACAGCGGTGATACACGTTGTCCAGCGCGCCATATTCCATTGGAATCCCCTCACGCCCCCTCGGTACCTCACCGTGCCTCCCCCCTGCAAAATGTTATTAAATAAGTTGTCAAAAAAGATTAGCCAGGCAGCATAGCAGAGAGCATTGAAGGATCGTTAAATTTTCAAAATAAAACATCTTTTAGACTTTATTCAGTTTGTATCAGAGTCTGAATGACCTGTTGTTTTAAAAATATTGCCAGAATATTTTTAAATAAAGAAAGTCAATAGATATGACTAGATTTTCTTTGAATAAAGTAAATTAGTAAAAATTAAGTACATTTTTTCACTATGTCCCACTGCGTCCTGGTACCAAATTACCTATTGACTGGTACTAGACTGCGGACCGGGGCTTGGGGACCCCTGATCTATACAGTCTTCCATTTACAACCTGCCCTTCAAGGGGAACTGTATTGCTAAGGTGGCTCCTGATGAAAATTAGTTTGACACCCCTGGTTTAGATAACCCACATATTTGGTTAAAAAAAAAAAAAAGAAAAAAGTTTGCTGTGACTTTTGTGGTTTTTGTCGCCCCCTACTGCGCAAACTTTATTTACACACTTTGTCTGTCAGGTATAACTTAAAATAGCCTTACAAAAAACCCCCCAAAAAAACGTATGCAGTAAAAATGAAATAAATATAAATCAAAAGCAAGTATTAATGAATTCGTCGTATTCAACATTTGTCCCCACATTTAGTACATTTAAAGGTAAAGAGAAAGGAATAGGAACAGAGTTTAGTAGCCAAAAAAACAAAGCACTTAGAGAATGATTTTCACTGACAAAATGAATGCTTTTGATAAACATGAACTTCATTTCTGTGATACAGAGAGTAAAGAGACCACCTGTCAAGAAGATTTGACAAGTAGTTCTGAGACAAAACTATCCGGCTGCACTGGTGATGCTTGGGCTCCCTCTAGTGGAGTGCATAGGACTCTTCTATTAGGATTTAGTGAGTAGCTTAGTTGTGTGTGTGTGTGGTTGTAGAATGAGTAAAGAAGTGATGGAAATAACTCGTGCTAATCTTTGACAGAATTGTTGTTTTTATTGAAGGAGCAATTTGGAAATTTAAGTTGAAATGATTAGTTAAGGATTTGATAGTATCTTTTTTGTCAAAACAATTCAATTGGAAGTTCATGATCATTTGAGAATTGATAGTATCAGTTCAGTGTAGAGGCAAATTCTGGAAATTATGTTTTTAACCCTTGTGTGGTCCTTCTCAAATATATATATATTTTATATATTCATATAAAATACGTTTT